AAATAAACTGAACTGAATTGGATGAAACTCAACCTTTCCAAATGGACATGGACAAAAAGGTTTGCAGGTCTGGCATGATTAGGGACAGAACAAACATGTGTTTACTGATGAGTAAAGACAATGCTAAAAGAATGTGGGCAACAGTGGCATTGGATGTAGGAGTTTGTCCTGAAATCGAAAGGTTGACGTTTCAAGCCCCGGCTCCGACTTTCATTGTCGTTGTGTCCTTGGGCAAGACACTTCACCTGCATTGTCTACTGATGGTGGTCAGAGGGCCCGGTGGTGCCAGTGTACGGCAGCCTCGCTTCTGTCAGTGAGCCCCAGGGCAGCTGTGGCTACAATGTAGCTTGCCACTATCAGTGTGTGAGTGTGTGGGTGAATGAATGTAGTGTAAAGCGCTTTGGTCAAGTCTCCTAACTTGAATAAAGGTGCTATATAAGTACATGCCATTTACCATTTACCATAGAATGGACTGCATGATATGCTGTGCTACAGGAATATGTGTTAAGCTGTTGCTAAAGCTTGGACAACCTTTATTTCACTAAAGGGTCTAAACACTGATATAATATTAGTGTTCATGTGTTCCTCATATGCTCATTGCATTTCCATTAGCAAGTATGACCAAGAGTCATTTAGTGGAATCCTGATGTCTATTCGCTGCTAGATATTTCAAAGTGGGTAAAGAATCATTTGACTAAAGGTTTTTGGTTCTTGATTAAGCAAATCATTCAATATAACATTATTTGGCCAAATAATGTTTTATTCACCTCATGGATTTGCATTGTGAATTGGTCTGAAAACATTCCAATTTCTTTCAATTGGTGAAAAGCTAATTTGATCATATCCCAAATTCTTCCAGATAAACTTTGGTTTCAAACACAAGTTCCATCTTAAACTGTAATATGGTTTTAACCATGTTTTCCTTCCTCTTTGTACATAGTACTTTAGTTTAGTTGAGTTTCAGTTTAGTTGAGAGTTTTAAACTGAAATAGTTTTGACTTGGAGCTGAATGATATTTATTAATAAACTCTTATATTTTGAACAGAAATTGTGGTGAACTTTTATCCATGTATGTGCAGAATTAACAGTTTGACCATGATTAGTGCTCAAATAATTTTTTCATTTATTGTTCTAACACACAGCTAGTAGGGCGTGTGTTCATAAACAGAATGCAGGAACATTCTTAAAATGAAAAAGCATTTCTGAAAATGCTTTTTCATTTGAAATCTGGTAACGATTCGCTTCCATTCATACCCATTTCGTTTATTTTACTTTTTAAGACATCGTAACCTTATGGCTGAATTTTTAAAAATACCACAAAATTTTGGAACTTGAACGTTTCATGCGCATGCGCACCAGCTGTGCGAGCCCTGTCATTGCTGCTGTTGCTGCCACTGCCTTCTTCTGTCGGAGCTCACCGGTAATGATAAAGCAAACATGGACGGACGCTGAAAGCTGCACTGACATGGACTCACCCGGAGCTTTCTACCTTTACGAAGACGTAAATTACACAGACAACAGCTTCATTTCACCATTGACAGCGTCTTTTTCTGTCTCAGAAAGATTATTTTTAGGCTTTGACGAGAATAAGGCGGCTTCCGAAGGAAGGGGATATATGCGAATGTTTTCCTGCGACATACTTTCCCAATGCAACCATCTTTCACTTGCAATTTAAGACCAAGATTAATATCGTTTTAAATTTGCTACGCCGCCCCATATTTGTTAGCTAAGTGTTTCCAAGGAGAGAAAAGGGGACACAAAGTTCAGGTGGAGCCAATAGCTGTTCGTTAGCCACAACTAGCTACAGCTGTCACCTTATATTGTCGGCTGCGTTTAAATACTGAATTGAAACAAAATGATTAACTTTTGCTCGTTTTAAAAAGCGGAAGATACGCATAAGTGGAAACATTTGTCTTGATAAAACCTGAGAACGTTGTCTAAGCCCGTTTTTAAATGTATTTTAATAGTGCGAACATCATAGGATTCATTTTTCTTACGGCTGCTTAAGATCGGAGCTCGGAGTAAACATGCACCACCAGGACTACACTGGTGATTCTCCGGGGGCTTCAATCCGTAAAACTGCTTTCCACCACCGAAGAGGCAGCAGCGGCAGCGCACCCGGTTCTCCCTCCTCCTCCGTTGGAGGTGTCCCCTTAGAGGAGAGCCAGACTCCGGCCCAGGCTGGATCTGCGCAGGTGAAGAAGAAGAGTGGCTTCCAGATCACCAGTGTCACCCTGGCCCAGACCAACAACGTCAGCGGCAATAACAGCATGGCGGATGACACGGAGAGTTACGATGACATGGACGAGTCCCACACGGAGGACCTCTCATCCTCAGAGCTGCTGGATATATCTGCATCCAGGGCTGCAGACACAGGAGTCCCGGAACGAAGCTCCTCAGATGAGACTTTGAACAATCTCCCTGGGGTGGACACCCCCGGACTGGTGTCCCCAAATGAGCCTCTGCAGCTTCATCACGTTGCACAGGGATCCTCCTTCGTAAATGGGTCTGTACATCAACAACATTACCCCCAAACAGCTCACCATCTTCGCTCTGACCCAGCATCGTCTCTTTCCATGGGACCCATAGCCAGCTCCAGTCCAGCTATGTCCCACAGGCCGGTGATGCAGGATAACCCCAAACCTGCTGCTATTCACATGCAAAGTGCTGCAAAGGCTGCAAGTGTTTCTGCTTCTGGTTCTGACAACACTAATGCAGGTTTGCATTCTACCCAGAGCCCCCATATTCAGGCAAACCCTGGCTCTCGCTTCAGGGTTGTCAAACTGGATTCAAACCTTGAGCCCTTCCGCAAAGGGCGATGGACATGCACAGAGTATTACGAAAAGGAGGTTCTTCAGCCGTCTCCCTCTGAGCCAGCCAAAGCTATGGATGTGGCAGCAGAGGCTGATGCAGGGATAAATGCACCTATTCCCCCTGTGCAGCTGCCTCCCAAACTGCAGCTGTATCATCCTCCTCCTCCTCAGGACTTCACTAGTCCACAGACAGTGCACTCCACAACCCAGAACTATGTCCCCCCTCAAGAGGTTGTTGGAACAGTTAATGCTCAGCAACCTGTGGCTCCTCCTGTCAGTATCCCTGCAGCAACATCACAGCCTCCTCCTGTGTTACCCCAACCCGTGGCCTATAATTTGGATCCACAAGCCAGGGTAGGTTATCCTACCACTCAGCTCCATGCAGGCATGTTGACATCCCAAAGAGGTGTCAGGCAGCCAGACTTCATCCAGCCAACTGCTCCCTTTCAGACACAAGTTCAGCCTCCACTCCCACATGCTAATTCTGGGATTTCTGCAGCAGTTCCAGGGTTCCCATTACAGCATCCCACTAGCATTTGTCCACAGCAGCCAGCTCAGACTACGGTAACCCAGCCTCCCCAAAAAGCAAAACTCCAGCACCCCTCTGCAGCAGCACCTACTCTAACAGCAGGGGCCCCCTGTAACCCCTTGAACACCCTGCAAGCCGACCTTCAGCCCCTGCTCAACCTGGGAGCTAATCTTGCAAATATTCCTGCAGGGGGAAGCTTTGTAAAAAACGCAGAGTTGGAGAATGCCCAGAAGTTCTTGATCCAGCACCAGGGCCTGTTGGGCCTGCCAAGGTTGGCAAGTGCCAGGGTTGGAGAGGGGGCTGTGGAGGGCCACATTGGCATGTCAGTTGAGGCGAGGGCTTTCATGGCTGCTGCAGGCTTCAGGAGTCAGCAAAACGAAGGAGAGAATGACAGGTGAGAAAGATTCCCATTCTTCTTTTTAATATATATTTTTTTGTGCTCAATTTATGTCCAATCCAAACTCAGCAATCCATTTTTTTATTTGCCTAAACCCTCTGGGTCTCCGACGTAGATTAAGGTTAGCTTTACTTGAACTGTTGAGCTCCATTGCAGCCTATCCAGATGCTGAACTATAAGGGTAGCTTGGCAGAAGCTCCAGCTTAGAAGACTTGTATCTCACAAATTAATGTCAACGCTTTTTTTTTCTCAGTAGAACCAAGGTTCTCTCCTCTGATTATACAGAAAAAATTAAACAAGAAATTAAATTTTCTTCAAATAAAAAACAAAAGCAATATTTTGTTCCAGAGTTTGCACTTTTCCTCTCATTCTTTTTAAAGATTTGAAGCATTGAATTCAGAACGTGTTGGTTTTATTCTGGTTTCTACTTGTCATGAGTCCATGTGACCCCCCACCCTACCCCCTGGCTGTGTATAATGTTGGGCTGCAACTTCCGATTATTTTGCAAGTCGTCTGTTGATTATTTTTTGTGGTTAATAATCGGATAACCAAAGGTTCCTTAAAAAGATTTCTACCAAAATAAACCAGGTTAAACTAAAACCATTCCACTTGAGGAGTTCTGGAAAAAGCATATTGACAAAAATGTCTTTTTTTTTTCATCTTAAAATGTTAATATATTAACATTTAATAGAATTTAATATACAATATTGGTTTTATTACTGCTCTGAGTGGGTCACTTTTTTACCTAAAAGTATGTTTTACAGTCTCTATACTCCAGCTAACGATTAATTGATTACTAAATTAGTTGAGATTTCATTAATCAATTAATCCTGACTGTTTACTTACACTACTACTACAATTAATTCAGCCCTGTATAATGTAGTGGAGAGGATTGGTTGACTTTGTGTTTAGTGTAAAGCGTTTTAAGTATTACCTTTCAAGCAAAATGAATTGTCACTAGAATTCTCCAACTCCTGGATGTACATCTTCCATCTTGCTACAATTGGCATTGTAAAGAGATTTAAGTTTCAGTAAACAACGCGACATGGGAGGCAGGTACCCCATCGGCTTGAAGAGTTGTGTTGAATGTCTCTCCCTGCAGCGATCACTTTCTCCAGGAGGCTTTCTAAATCAATACATGTAGTTCAATTTGAATTCTACATGGTATTAATCCATCTTACACCAGGTTATTATTTAGTGGGGTGACTATAAAAATAACTCTATCGATTTACTAGGTCTAAAAAAAATCTGTGGTTTTCAGACTCTCCAGATCGCTCATGCTGATTGTTTGTGATTAAAGTAAAATAATTAGTTAAAACATTTAAATCCATCTATCTAATCTTTGTAGAAATCCCTCAGAACGCATCATTATACAATTCAGCCTTTCAACTCCTTCCAACGGGCTTTTTGTTGCCCTGTTTTTATTACATGATTTATGTAACATGGACAATGTTCCTCAGTGTATTCGTATGAAAAAGTTTGGGCACCCCTATTAATCTTAATCATTTTTATTTCTAAATATTTGGGGTTTTGCAACAGCTATTTCAGTTTGATATATCTAATAACTGATGGACACAGTAATTGAATTGAGGTTTATTGGACTTACAGAAAATGTGCAATATGCATTAAAACAAACCTTGACTGGTGCAAAAATGTGGGTACCTTAAAGGAATAGTACACCCAAAACATGATTAGCCTTCATTTTCTACTCACCCCCATGCTGAACAACACTCTGGAGTACTTTTTTGATATCTCAAATGCATCTGGAGATCTGGGAGGCTTCTTGCTGTCTGCTGACATTCAAATAATGGAGGTCCATGGTGACCGAGGCAGAAAGGTCCATAAAAGTCCACAAAAAAACGTGTCAATATTCCTCCATACTGCTCGTCCAATGTATTCCAAGTGTCCTGAGTGGGTAGCGTCCATAATTTACTCGAAACGAAGTCATTTAGAATGTTTTTAGAGCGTAAACAGTAGTGTATAGGATTTCCTAAAAGCGCGTTCACGAGTCTACGGAAACCGCGGCAGACCAAACCAGATCATTTTGATTTTCATACCTTGAACTACTTTTAACTGACTTACTGAAAAACAAAATTGGTTTGGAAACTTCATTAAGATTTGAACTTCATAGCCAGGTGTATCCAATCATGGGAAAATGTATTTAAGGTGGCAGTTTAAAGTTGTTCTCCTGTATGAATCTCCCCTAAAGATTCATCATGGGCACCTCAAAACAACTCTCAGTGATCTGAAAACAAAGATTGTTCAACATAGTCGTTCAGGGGAAGGATACAAAAAGTTGTCTCTGAGATTTAAACTGTCAGTTTCCACTGTGAGGAACATATGAAGGAAATGGAAGAACACAGGGACAGTTCTTGATAAGCCTAGAAGCGGCAGGCCAAGAAAATATTAGAGGCAGAGAAGAAGAATAGTGAGAATGTTCAAGTACAGCCCACCTCCAAAGACCTGCAGCATGATCTTGCTGCAGATGGTGTCAGTGTGAATTGTTCAACAATTCAGCGCACTTTCCACCAGGAGAAGCTGTATGGAAGAATAATGCGACAGAAAAGCACATTTGGACAAGCTAGCTTCATTTTGGCATAAGGTCCTGTGGACTTATGAAATAAAAATTCAGTTTTTGGTCATAATTATGCACTGTGGCAAAAAAAACAACACAGTTTTCCAAGAAAAACACCTGCTACCCACTGTAAAACTTGCTGGCGGTTCCATCATGCTTTGCGGCTTGTCTTGCCAGTGCTTGCACCAGGAAAGTTGTTAAAGTTGAGGGTCGCATGGATTCCTCTCAATATCAGCAGATTCTTGAGAATAATGTTCAAGAATCAGTTATGAAGTTGAAGTTACGTCAGGGATGGATATTTATGCAAGACAATGATCCAAAACACTGCTCCAAATCTACTCAGGCATTCATGCAGAGGAACGATCAGTGTTCTGGAATGGCCATCCAATCCCCAGACCTGAATATCATTGAACGTCTGTCGATGCTCGGCGACCATCAAATTTAACTGAACTGGAATTGTTTTGAATGGTCAAAAATCCTTCATCCAGGATCCAGGAAGTCATTAAAAGCAACAGGAAGCGACTATTTTGTTTTAATGCGTATTGCACATTTTCTGTTTGTCCAATAAACCTCAATTCTGTACTGTAATATTACTGTGTCCAGTTATTAGATATATCAAACTGAAATAGCTGTTGCAAACACCCAAACATTTAGAAATAAAAATAAATAAGATTATTAGGGGTGCCCAAACTTTTTCATCTGACTGAATGTTGTTAGACTGGCTCACGAGTTAGGCCTCTTAAGCAAAGATGTGCCTAGTTTGTTTGTTGTTTTTTTCTTCTTGGGTTGATAATTTAGATTGGAGGGAATAATTTTTGACGGATAATAAAAAAAAAGCTTTTTTCTCAGAGGTCATGACTTCATGGTTTTCTGAAAGAGCATTAGAAAGTAGGACTAAATGCTTTTAGAGATATATTTGACGTTGCCTGAAATGAAAGTTTGCTGTATTTTTTTAGAAAGAATCTAATCTTCTTTTTTTGATATGACAACAATAATCTTGAATTGAGCTTTTAAATAATATTTTATACTATTTACATTTAGATCATAATGTTTTATCTAAAAGCGTCTTTCCTAATCTTGAAACTTTAGTCTTAAGTTGTTTTTATTTTAATTCGTGTGTCTTCAAAATCCAACAGCTTTTAGCGCATGCCTTTTTTCTCTCGCTGTCATGTAGTTGGAGGCAGGTACTGTCTGTCAACAGCATAGAGTCTCCCATTAAGAAAACATCCCAAAGATTTGAGGCATTAGCTCTGTTTGAATTCATGGGCTGCATCCTCCAAGGATGCTGTCTAATTAGACTGGATCCTTCGAAGTCTGGAATAAGGAATGTAATAAGGAGACCAGAAGAGTTTTGGCTGTAATTTAAACAGGTCTACCCTTCGGCGGGTTTTACGGCCGTAGGCTATGTTGCTTAGCAACTGTGACAGTTGACACACAAAGCAGGAAAAGAATTAGTACCTAAGTTTTCAAAACTGTTTTTTTTTTTTTTTATTGTAAAGTGAACAAATACACTCAAAAGAATCCAGAGTGGAATAAAGGTGCCAATCACCAGGAGCAGAAACAAATAAAAGCAAATGTAATTATATAAACTTTAGTCATTTAAATAACATGCTGCTGTCATTTTGCACATCTCTGATGTTGCTGCTATTTTCAAATATCCATTACTGTTCAAATGTCCATGCTGGATATTGCTTATTTATTCTCCAGGTGCACAGTTTTATATTATAATACTTTACAGTATTTTATTGTTTATATTTTAACTCGTCCGTATTATGTTATTCTTAAAAAAAAATTTAAGGTCCTCATTTGTGTGACCTTTTTCAATAATCTTTCTGCTGCTGTAAATTTGCCCATTGTGGGACAATAAAGGGATTTTCTATTCTATAAAAGGGGTAGAACAATATAAGTAAATCTAAACAGTGTATGTATAAAAAATATATCTGCAAAATCTCTAATATTCAACAGAAAAACAGCAATAAAAAATAAAAATCCTATCAGATTTATAGTCCCCACCCTGCAGATATATTAGAATCTGTCCTTAAATTACAGCCAAACCCATTTACACAATAACAGATAAAAAACTTTTAGATAAATCAAACATTACCGCCACATATCTGACTCAATAACAATTAAAACAACTATTTTCATTAATCTCAGATTATTTACATACTTGTATTTTATTAAACTGCACTTCCAATATTCACCACTGGTCGGCGCCAAGTAACCTTTCCTCTGATCATGGAGTCGCAATGAATCCTGGGAAAACCAAGGATACATCGGACCTGTCCTTCAAATCGGGCAAAAAGGACGCATTTTTTTTATCTTAAATATTTTTTTTTTTTTTTAAGTCAAAAACATTTACATGAAACAATACTCTCAGAGAGGATAGCAAAGGTTTACATGAACAGATAAAGATAAATTA